CCGTCCATGATCTCCGCACTAGAGGGAGAAATGCAGCCGTCTATGGCAGGATAGCTGCCAGCCTGGCCACCAAAGGCTATATGCGAACCCAGAAGCAGGTATGCATGAAAATTAAATTGGTCCGGCAAGACCCCCAACCCTGGGCCCTGAGCTTCCCCTCTCCCTTCTTCCCTTTGCTTCCCCCTTCCAGTTCCCTCCTCCCAGGTTTCCCCCTCCCCTCTCCCACCCTCTCTCTTCCCCTCTCCCACCTCTTTTTCCCAGTCTCCCCAGAGGTTCATCCAGCCACCCCCAGTTTTGTTCAATAAATCCAGTTTCTATTTTTGAACATATGTATCTTTTGTTTGACATCAGGAAGGGGGGTTAGGGTGGGGTAAGTGGAAGGATGTGGGGGAGGAATGGGGCACGAGCCCCCGGTGGGGAGGACCGGGGTGGCTCTGAGGGCTCCTTGGGGTGGACGCTTTCCCTCAGGGCCTCTTGGATCCTGACAGCCCCTCGATGGACCCCCCGGATGGCAGCCTGCAGCAAGTGCAGCCGGGCTGATGGCAACGACCCCAAGACCGGCATGCCCAGGGGCAACTCTGGCTCCATGTGGCCGAGTGCTGTGGTGTCCTGAGTGCAGGCACTCAGGGCACTCCAAGACAGGACTGCTTTACTGTCCCTCATCAAGGTAGACAAGCAAGCGGGGAACTGAGAACTGAGAACTGTCTGTCCGGGGTGGGGGTAGGGTCCCTTTAAGCATGGAGCTCAGTTAGCCTCAGGCAGCAGCCCTACACACTAAGTCCTAACCTGATGCCCTGCCGGCACTGGTTCTGACCAGCCTTAACTTCGGTTCAGGGTCCACTCAGTGTGGACATGCTATTTCGAAATAGGTTTTGTGTGTAGATGTATTAATTCGAATTAGCTTAATTCGAATGAACTATTTTGAATCAAGTTAACTTGAATTAACGCTGTAGTGTAGACATACCCTTAGTTCAAAACAATGTAGTATAGAGATAAGAGCACTGTGGTCAACATTTCACTGATGCCCAAATTTCATACAGATGCCCCCAAAATGGTTAACACTGAAGTTTAGTAACTGCATTATGTAGGTTTCATTCATACTCCTATAATCAAAAGTTTCTCATAATGACTATTACTAGAGGTTATGTTAAACTATCTATAAAAACTCATTATAGGTTGAAGCTTAAAGTTCATAGACTCGAGCAACCATTTTTATAAAGAAAAGTATGTTTTATAAAATTATTTTTATTTTTATATACTGCACATGTAAAGAACATGACATTTCAATTTACTCAAATGTACTTTGCAAATTCAAGACACTTTTTATTCTTTCGTAACAAAGTATGTATAGCAGATATTGTTGTGATTTTTAAAAGCAAGCTAAGTATTAATCCTGCAAAAGTTTATATGTGCAAGCTTTTCACACATGAACAACTGCATTGGGACAATTCAGACACAGTAATGTAAAGTTACTCAGATGAAATTTGTATCTCAGGGTCCAATAAGTAATTTTACATTTTGAAAAAGGTAATTTTCAATATGTAACAGTTCAATTCAGATTTTTCTTAAAATGAATTTGTGTCCCATTAAAAAGAGATATGTGTTTGAGGATTAAAGTTTATATAGAAAATCGAAAGGATTTAGAAACATCAAGGAAGTTAAGGGGTCTGTTCAGCAAGATGCTGATCACTCTGGGATCCAGCAAAACATATAAGCACAGGTGCTTATCTTTAAGCATATAAATTACTTCAATAGGACTAATTCCACGTTTAAAGTTAAGCATGTGCTTAAATGCTTTGCTGGATTGGGGCCAAAATGATCAGTCTCTTGCAGGATTGTGTTCATAATTCTTGTTTAATTGCATTGATGTTTCCTTAATACTTTGTTTATACAGTGACACAGTGCTTTTATCATGTTAAATTTTGCACAAATGGCCAATTGAAGGAGCGTGAACAGATGGGAGTGCTGCATTAGCACTATTTGTCCTGAAGAAGTGCATCTCTGTGCATTTCCACTGGCAAAAACAGTTCCATCTTTCTTTGTTTTCTGATTAAACCAAGGGCATAAAGCACAACAAATGTGCTACACTTTATGCATTTGAAAATAATAATACATTTCACAAATAATTTTTAAAGCCCTGATCCTGCAAACACTCAGGCAAATGTTTATCTTGTATTTATGTGAATAATCTCATAGAAACCAATCTGACTTCATGGAACTACTCATGTGAATAAAAGCTGTGTGTGTGTGAGTGTTTTCAGGATTGGGGGCTATGAAAACATGTTTATGTGAGCCATGGGCCTGCAAATCTTAAGCATTTGAATAATTTCACTCATATGAGTGGTCCCATAGAACAGTGTTTTCCAATCTTTTTTTTATAAAGTACCCCTTTAAAAAAATTATAAGTACCCCCAGTACCTATAGCTTTCAGACACACACATTTTTTTTCTTCCATTTCAGCACATTTGTTTAAACAACTTCATTGTCGCCAGGTGGGCGATGAAATTTTTGGGTGTAAAAAGTACAAAAATAATAAAGCGCTGTAAAACTTAAAGCAAAAATTCAGTTTTCTCCAAATTTCAGTGGTGTTGACGTACCCCCTAGACTTCTGGGCGGGGGGCTGGACTCGATGACCTCTTGAGGTCCCTTCCAGTCCTATTATTCTATGATTCTCTCGAGTACCCCTAATGGTACTCATGCCACTGGTTGAGAAACACTGCCATAGAAGTAAAAGGGATTATTTTTGTGAGAAAAGTCACATACATGCATGAGTACTTGTGGGATCAGGGCCTTAATTAAAACAGAGATAAATAAATCAGGAATGCAAAGGTGGATCTTGATTTGCAAATAAATGTAATTGTTTTGGATACTTTCTGTGTGGCATTGATTTAAAGTTTTTCTTCCAAATGTACAGATGTATAAATGCCTGCATTTTAAAGCACAAAGACTGAACTATCTTTACTCACTCAAGTAATCCCATGGAAATTGTTTGTATGTTTAAGCATTTGCTGATCAGCCCCTAAATTGTGAATTGTCAATGTCCATAGGCAGAAATGAGCAAAGTTGAAATTGGACATTATTTTACTTGCAGACTTATTAGCTTGCAAAATATTGCCATTTATGTTTGCATTTTTTCTATGAATAAGAAGCAAAGCCAAGCAGTAGAAGTAATTGTTTGAGTACTGCACAAGGATTCTGTCTTGCAAAGTCTGAGTACTCCTGTAAAGTGCTGAATGCCCTCAACTTCCACTAAAGTCAGTGGGACATCAGCGTGCATAGCACTTTACTGGACTGACAAGAGGAGGAAAAGGCACAATTCTGAAATGAATTGCTATGGCTACGTCTAGACTACAAGCCTCTTTCAAAAGAGGCTTTTTCAAAAGAGCGCATCTAGACTACAAGCAGATTTTTCAAAAAAGCGAGCTGCTTTTTTGAAAGAGAGTCTAGATGCTCTCTTTCGAAAAAGCACAGTTTGTATTCAACAGCACCTTTTTTCAAGAGTACTTTCGAAAAAAGGCATTATTCCTCATAAAATGAGGTTTACCACGATTGAAAAAACTGCCACGTTCTTTCAATTTACTTTCGCAGGGGACGTTTTTTTGAAAAAAGGCCACTATTTTTTCCAAAAAAATGCTGTAGTCTAGACACACCCTATATTACAGATAAGGATTCAAATTGTTTTCTTCATGGAGCAAATGTTTGTATATGCATTTCACAGTGCTTCAGATTGTGAAAAAATGTTCTATTAAACAATCAGTTTAAAAAAAACCCCTAATTTATAAAATTAAAAAAATTATAAATATATTGCATGCAGAATTGTAAGCATTAATAAGTAAATAATTTAGTTCCATCAACAACCAGGTCATTATAGTATGCAATGAAAAAGTCATTAGACACTATTGGAAATGCATGAGGAACCTTGTAAGTCAAACATAAATAAAACTTGTAAAAGGATCATTAGAGCTAGTAAAAGAACTGATTTGAATACATACTAAATCTGTACAAGCCATTTTATAAATTTCACCACTAAAAATATAATAAGGGCCTAAATCCTGAAAATCCTTAGCACTATGAGGAATTGCAGGTGCCCAAATTGTCAAAAGTGACTAATAATTTTCAGTGTCTAAATGCTACGTATTAATCCTTAATTCTACTTCTTTGTACCCAACTAAAGCACCTTAGAGGGCATAATTTTCAGAGAGGTCGAGGACCTGTTCTGTCAAAACCCAATCACATTATGGAATCTCTAGTTGTGGACCCAAATCCTGTGGTGCCCCAAATCACAAATCTCTTTTGCAAACTTCGGTCACAGATTCTATGAAAATGAATTATGTTAAAAGAGGAATATACTTTAACTGAACTATTACACTAGTGGAACTATTCGCAAGAGTTAGTCCCTAAAATCTACAGACTCATGAAGAGTGTCCTCTCAAGATTGCTGAGATTTACAATACCATGGAGGAAGCAAATCAGATTCTGATCTTGATTATATTGCTGTGAAGCTAGAGTTATGCCTCTAAATAAAATGGAATAACTCTGAATTTACAAAGGTGTAATTCAATGAAACCAGAATCTGACCCAATATGTTTAGCCTCTGACAGAGAAGAAAAAGAGAATTTCTCATTGTTCATCAGTACCCATTGTGTTTGGATATAGAATGGCCTTATAATGGTATGGTCTAAAGTAGCTTACGTGCTACAATACATAAAGGCTCTAGGACAATATCAGGTGTAAATTTGAAAATGAATATAAACATACAGGCTCCATTCCTCAGCTGATGTAAATCAGCAACACTCCATTGAAGTCAATGGAACTATGCCAAATTATCACAGTTGGGCTCTATCCACATATTTAACACTAATAGTCCTGAAGGGATTGATTTTTTTTAATGAAAAATTAACTGAGATCAAATAGCCATTAATTCTAGCTTTTATTGAAATGTTATAGAAGATTGTTGATATAGTCCTGATACCTGGTCAGATATCCTTCCATTTTTCCAGGAACTTGTTGCTGCAAGAGTGATTTGAATTTAGCTCTAAAATCCTACTGTGTCCATTTGCAGTTCCATATTTAACTGAAGATCTTTCATCTCTATGAAAAAATTGTACTCTTCTCTTTCCTATTCATCTTAAAGGTTTTGCCTTTTATTTTGTTTTTCAGAATCAGCAGCATATAGAAGAGAGTCAGACTGGATGGGCTGGTGGAGTAGGATTTTTGTTGTTTTTTTCTATGATTTAATGAAAAGTTACAGTCATTTACTTATCTTCACCATAATGTTGGGAGTATGAATCTAAGTGAGATATGTGCTCACCTCTCATTGACTACAAATCTCAGTCTTAATGATTATTGTCTATACTAAAGTTACAGGAATCACATTCACATAAGTGAGAAGTATCTAAGTGCACAGTGCCAGGAGTTGTTAAAAGCATTATCCTGGCAGAGGACAGTGATAAAGAAAGTTCCCTTGGCACCACTGAAAGCATGTCCTATTCCTCCAGACATGTCTATAATAAATACATGTCTGAAATGTATTTTCGGAGCATAATTTTAATGCAAAGTGCTGCTCTTCTTTACTGGGGGAGAAGCCTTTGTGGCGAGAGACCAGTAAGCTGTGGGTAACATTTGCTTTCAACTACCAATACATCAAGATAAATATTTACGTCCAATAGCTCTCACAGCATTCGGATATCAGAGGAGACATGTTTCTTGCCTTGAGGAACTTGCATTCTGAAGACTGAAAAAACAGACAATGCCCACTGTCTACTTTTTCAGTCATCAGAATGCAAGAGATTGAACTATCTTTATTCCCAAAGAGGACTGAAACATATTGGTGCAGCAGAATGGGGAAGCTTGGACAGCTTCTGCCCCATGCTGTACTTACCTTGCACATAAACATTGACACGTCATTGTATATGTTACACACACATGCCCCATATATAGGATACACAAACTATGTCTATTATTCTTTAGTCATGACAAGGTCAGTTACTAAGACTAAGTCGAGCAGTGTCTGGGTCTTTTTACACAAGGATTAATTGAAAACTTCATATTTTAGTACACACAGTCCTATTATTTTGAGATTCATACTATGCATCCACTGGGATAAGACACTTTATTTGAACTCCTTTTCTTTACCTTCATTTCTGGATTAATGATGACAAGTTGCTATAAAAACTAATCAAAACTACACACAATTTTTTTGCTTTATTCTTGGAGGGGGATTTAATGGTTTGAGATTAATAATGGAATGCAGAACAATTTAGCTGCTCAGATTCAAATATAGCACAAGTCAGCAGTGTTGGAAAGTCATGGGACCTAAAGAGTGTCTGATGGCATAATCGTCCAAGGGCTTCAGATCATTTTCTGTGGGATAATTTTCTATAATTTAAAAAAAATAAAAATCACGATTGTCACCAATTGTTTCCCTTGTTGACCGTCTCAGAGGAGACCAAGGTTTGAGCAGGAATAGAGATTGAATCCTCTTTATTCCCAAACAGCACTGAAGCGTATTGGTAAAGCAGAGTGATAAATCTCAGACAGCCTCTGATCCATGCTGTAGCTACCTTATGCTTACACAGAAGACTTTAGTCATCAGGACTTTTAACTCCGGCAGCTTTCACAAATACAAATTTTTATTAAAAAACGTTTATTTTTACGACTCACTAACTCTGATTATAACTAAAAAATGAATACATTAAAAATCTGATCAAACCAAGCGCGCGCGCACACACATGCAATCCCATGTGCATGAGTCACAAAGTGTATGTACAAAGCATGTGTACATGTTACCAGCATTGTGGCATGCTCATATTACCCGTTAAGAGGTTTGATAGAATATACTTACAAAAGGGAAGGCAACTCTCTAGTCACTCTAATGTGTATGTATTATAAAGTATATATGATATACATTGCTCAAAAGCCTGGTCATTTTTTCCTATCCCTTTGTTTCAGTTCTTCGTTTCAACACCATATTTTACTTCAGATAACTCTTCATACTACAAAATTTTTAGTGACAAGGCTGGTTATAAGCATATTCACTACATCAATGGCTCAGTGGTACGTCAAACGAAGAATTATCCTCAGTAAATTCCTATACTGTAGGTTCCTGAAATAATCTTGCTGTGCATCTACTTTTATAGGAAAATGCAATACCAATTACGAGTGGACAATGGGAGGCAATATACATTTTCAGAGTAACAGATGATGCAATGTAAGTATTTTATAAAGCAGAGCATGTTGTTTATGCGGTATTTGCGGTCACTAGGCATGTAATACAATTGCATTGATCTTTGTAGGGTTCCATTAATCTCATTAGACCCTGATAATCAAAGGGACAGATGCCTGGGAACTGTGAGCAATTTGTCTAGAATTACCACAGCTGTATACACAAATCAGGTGTCTGGGCACGCACACGGCCATAGTTAGCATGGTGGAAAAACCTAGTCTGTGGACACAGCTAGAGTAGATTTTGTGTATAAATATGGGGCACATGTGAGCTTCTGAAAGGCATTTTGAAAATCAAGGCCACTATCTTTTTCTAATAATTTTTAGGCCTCTATTCAGCAAAGAACTCCAACATCTTCCTATCTTTAAGCACATGAGTAATCC